TTTTCTTTTCCATGATCCCTTATATAATCCTATTTTACCCTATATCATATATTGGAGTGTCCATTTTCTTTTTCATTATCTCAATCCTAAAACCTAAACCCTAAATAGTAGTTTCCATTTTCTTTCCATTATCACAAGTGTCCCCATAGGCCCCAAAAGGACCTTGATCTTCTCCAGTCTCTGCTTGTTGATGGCCATGGACTTCGCAATGGCATACCTTATCGGGTGTAAGGTTTAGGCTTTGGGCTTGAGGGTTTTGGGTTGGGACAATGGAAAAGAAAATGGAAACTGCTATTTAGGGTTTAGGGGGCTTGGGCAGGCAGGCTTCGCAAGGGTGTGGAAACCGTGCGCGCAGTCTTGGCAGCAGGCTGGGTCTCAATTTGCTTTGTTTTCTTTTCGTAGGTTTGACGGACTTTCTCCTGCAAGGCACAGATGCCATCAGGCATGCAAACAAGAAAGATCTGGTCTCTGCTCCGGTCCTTTTGCTCCGTGATGAGGCGGTAGACCTGAACTCAGAAGCTATAGTCCCCCAGAAGTAGATAGAATTTGGCTTTAGGTATATTATAATAAGATCCCCATATACCCCGTATTCTATCTACTTAAGGGGGACTATATCCCGGAGGCTGAGGATGGTATCATATCTGGCCTCAATGCTGAACTCTTCCTCACCCTTCTTGGTAATGTCTCCAGCCTCACATCCCCCATGAGGCTGCGCATGAACTTGCCACTGAGGCTGCTTGCACACAGTCCAACAAACACAAACGAGCTGGTGGCCTTGTCCTTTGCCTCGGCCAAGATGAAATCCTGATTTCCAGAATGAAAGGCATGAGCGTGCAGACACTGCCGACAATCCATATCACAAGTCCTTCATTTGCTCAATCTGCTTCTGCGCTTCCTGCAGTTTGCTCTAACAAGGTCATGAACCAGACATTCCAAACATGTTGCTTGCACCTGGGCATCCATGGCTGCGTGGAGCAGGTGTGACCTCAACGCGACCACTGCGGATTCAATTTCTACTCCTGTTGTAGATTTCCCACAGGGGCTCGGGCCCGTGAATGCTGCGGCGGTTCTTCTTTGATAGGCTGGTGCTGGATTGAACCAAAAGGAAAGCGGGAAAGGTCAAGGAGCATATGCCGCCAGCCCTCCAGCCTGCTCCCCTGTCAGCTCATTTAAGACCGCTGATAGAATCTCACTCTCACCATGAACAGAATAGTTAAAAGTGCTGAACATGTATAGGGCTGGCCTCTGCGGCTCGACGCTTTCCGCGGCTCCTGCAGAGCTCTTTGCACCACCTCCAACTTGCACGTTTTGCCTCCTGAATAGATAGCATAGTCACCTGGAAGCCAAGAAAGTCCAAACCTTCCCTGACCCGCGGAGGGGGCACCGCCTGCTCCGGCTTCGATGCCGCCTTCGCTCAGGGCCATCCTGACGGTCGCAGGATGCAAAGAGATTCAAAAAGCAGGTCAAGCGTGGGGGCTCCTGTCTTGTGGTCTCCCTCCGCGAGGGGCCTGGGCCTCAGCTTTGCAGAGCACAGACTATTTGGTTCAGATCTGGTACTTGTTAAATTACTCAATCTGAAGCTTCCAAGCTAGCTGCGCCCTACCCCACGCGACGGAGGGCCGTCCTCACAGCATCATAGATGCAAATCGCAACCCAGCGGAAGACGATCAGGACCTGCACTCTCAACTTCGGAAAGCCATCCCAACCACTGCAATCTCGCGTAGCAACCCTCCCCACGTCCTCCTGCATCTGTTGGCTGCCCGGCTTGCCTTCCTGGGTGTAAAGTGCTTCGCACAATTGCCCATACAATTTGCCAAGTGATGCACACATGTCCAGGAGCAATACGCGGCCCGAGCCGGATCCGGAGCCTGTCCCCTTCTGGATTTCAGCCTGCAAATCCACAGATCCCCAGCGAGTGCGCTGCTCTTGCCCTGGCAACTCCCAGTAGTCTGAGCCGGTCACCATTTTGACTTTCAGGACCATACCTTTCAGCTTCTTGCCGGTCACCCCTCTCAACCTGCAGTTCCGAGAGAGGACGCCAAGCTGATGCTACAGCCTTTACGCCTGCGACAAGCAAAAGGGTAACATACTGCGCAACCAGCGAAATGACCAAATGGCAGTGAGGGCTACTCAAATAGATGGCCCGTCGGGAACTCGACTGCATGCTTTGTCGGAAGCAGCTGAGTACCCGCACGCATCGGCAGCATCCAGAGCACTGTCAAACCTTGCAACGATTTCAGATTCTGCAAAACCAGATGGCATTATTTGATAAGACTATTGAAGGATTTGTCGAGGCAGAAGCTCGACAAAGGCAACGCCCTTCGCTGTCAACGGAAGCTCGATGTCCTGAAAGTCTGAAGGAATGGTCTGCACTGGGAACGTGAAGTAACGTGAATTAGGCCATCAGAGTTCGGTCTACCACTGCGCTCCGTGACATGACCGTACTCGCCGAACTCGCGTTGAAGATCAGTCCTTCAGGCCGTGTCAAAGAATCATGTGCAGGCCGGAAGACAATGAACCCAACATTTACATAGATCCACATGCCTGAGGTGTAGGCTTCATGACGCCACCCGCAATTCCAGACACAAACAGCCTGAAGTTCTGCATGCCCGCATTGGAAGCACATGCAAGTCTGGTCCACGCCTCTTTCCATTTGCTGACGCCTGAGCCCTCCTTGCAACCTTGCCATGAAACACAAATTCGTAAGGCTGCAAACTTTTTTGCAGGGTTGAACCTCCATCACCTCAGAGAGGACCTGCCATCAAGTTCGGTATTCGAAGCGCGGCTGCTGCCTGCACGTTGCCTGCGCATTGGCTGCGCATTTCTGGCTCACGCCATGGCATCGCAGAGGGCTGCAAGCTCACACATTTACGAATCAAAGGGGTAAGCTTCAGCTATCACCATGGTTCAGATCACAGGGGCACATCTGCAAGGGGGATCAAACAGTGAAATTGAAATTGCACTGTCAGCATGCACAACAGTAAGTATTTGTTCATAGCATCTCTTTGCTGAAGGGTAAGTTCTTCATGTAAGGTGCTCGGCAGTGAGCTCTTGAGCAAACGTCAGGCTGATGTGAACACAAGTCAGGGAAATCAAAGCACGCGGGTCTCTGTAAGGCGAAGACCTCTGACATGAGGCTCATCATTCGGTCCACACCATCCAAAACGAGAAGAGTGACCCTCAGCAGGCAAACCTTGGCATAACTACGCGTACAGATGCTGCTCAACGTATCCAGACATGAGCAGGTTCAAAAGCTGAACAGAAGCCGACAATCAGCGTGTCGCACTCAAAAGCACTGAAAACATGTTTCCCAAAGTGTTTTCAGCAAAGTCTTGTTTTGACTCTGGAGTAATAGCAAGGAAGCCTGGCATGCATTTGCAACTTTGCGAGCCTGGTACTTGCTGGCAAGGTCGTGGATCCTCTTTGGGGTTCCAATCACCACGTGTGCACCTCAGTCCGCTTGTGCTGCATGGAGCAGAACGCAATGAAACTTGTTAGAGAAATGATGAGACGACATGTCTGAAGCATGAAGCTTCGTTTGAATCCTTCCTCGACTGGTCTCTGCAAGTTCATTTCAAACCATGACGTTGCTCATACGAGACAACAAGGCAGCTCGAGAGATCTACCTACCCGAGGCCCTGTCCACATGATGTCATCTCACGGAGTTTGTCGGCACGCGACTGCGAAGTTTGGCAGCTGTTGAAATGCAATGTGTTTGTTCCGTTTACCTCTCGCTTGCTGACGAGTGACACCGCCACCTGACACGTTTACCGCGCGCAGCGCCTTCCCACTGCGACCTCGCGGAAACTAAAACCCACAGTTTGTCTCTGTTGAACGTTGACCTGGGCGCCCCTGTTTTTTCCAGGGCTCCATGGGCCCGGCAACATCTGCCGCTGCTCTACCGCTTGAAGCAGGGGCTCTTCGGCCTGAAGATCGGAGAAGGCCCGTTGCACACGTTGCCACTGATGCGGCTGAGTCCTACAAAATCCCAGCGGGCTGTTGAGAGTTGACCATTGAGTAATTCGCTCTTGGCCATTGAGCATCTTCCCACATCTTCTCAAGTCCTGCGTTGCTGTCAGCACCAGGGCCACTGGACCAGGCTCCTCCCAAAAAATGAGTTATAGTCCCAACTCCTAGTATCCCCCTTAATATCCCCTATCATAGTCCCTATATGATCCCCCTATATATAAACCCCTTTAAGGAACTTAGACTACAGCTCAAATGGAAGCCCATGCAAAGCGCTGGGATGCGCGGGGGGGCTCGGAACCACCTCCTCGGTGAGCCCGTGCTGGTCCCCAGCCTGGCAGCAGTGCGGACACTCGTAGGGGATAATGGAAATATTTTGGAAGCTACTATATTACAATAGGGTATATATTGGGGTTTTATAGGGATAATGGAAAAGAAAACGGAAACTACCATATAACAATGGCTACGAAATCTTTGTGCACCTGACGGGGGGCCTGCATGGCAGCAGCTACCAGGTAGGAAAGTGCCTGAGAAATGAACTAGATTGTTGCGTCAACCATTTAGCAAACACACGGTTCCTGCTTTTGCAACCGGCCTCCTGGCCAGCAGGGATGTCAGCTGCAACGGCAATGGCGTTTGAGCCTGCCAAAAGCGACAGGACCGAGGAGTTGCTGACGATGCTTTTTGCTTTTTGCAACCTGACTGCAAGTTACACGCCTCCCAGCATAATGGGCAGCAGCTGGGCCTGAAGCCAGAAGCTTCGAGAAAAATGATACAACCTTTTCACTGAATGCAATGCTCTCAGCTATCCATCTGACACAGGACTGTTATTTCGGAAGAACACTGCAGGAGGCAGGCGCCTGAAGTGGGCTGGGTGGGTTCGGCAAGGCCTCAAAGTTCAGCCCGGGTAACTCTTGTCCATAGGAAGCAAGCGTGCATCCCACATGGAAGCCTGCAGCAGCCACTCAGGCAGAGCATCCTTCAACTCACGGAAGCTTTGCAGGGGTGGCACGGTCGCATCCTGGCACGTCTGTCCATTCATATTTAAACCACACCGCTGGAAACAAATGGAGCTGGAGTCCTCGCCCGCAGGATCTTCGATCGAATCGATTCCCAAGGCTCGCCGCCTGTCATCAGAGTACCAGAACCAAGGTCCACACAAAACCTGCCTAGAGCCAGAGCCTTGACTGCCCAGTCCGGCACTTTCCACCACTAGGCAACTCGAAATGCTGTGAAACCGGATCTCTGGTCCGTGCTCTAGACTAGTCACTAGGTGAAGCGATCATTGGCAGCGCTCCTAGACCATGGCTGTGCATTCCTGGGCGGTGTAGAATGAGCAGCTTAATCCAACACTGCAAGGGAGTGATCTTTGCCAGCTCCCTCGAAGAAGTAGATCAAGCCCAAAACAATGTAGGTTACCAAAAGCATAAGTCCCTCGAGCCAGTTGGACGTGCCGTTGCTGAGGATGGTGGAAGCCAGAAAAACTGATATGAACAATACGGCGACTTGAAAGGAGTGAAAATCCAAGGACATATCCCTGTCAAATGCCCATCCCACCAGCACGCTGAATGGGGTGACCAATAGAGCCATCTGGCATGAAGATCCTGCAGCGACTCCCAAGGCCAAATCCATCTTGTTTCGCATTGCCACTGTGATGGCGGTGTAATGCTCTGCCGCATTCCCAATGATGGGGAGCAGTATAATTCCAATGAACTCCTGTGAAAGGTCATACTTCTCCACCGTGCCTTCAAGGGAGTCAATTAAGAAATCTGTTGAGTATGAGGTCAGCACAGTAGCTACAGCCAGCACAGCCGCAGCGAAACCAGGCGTCAAATCAGGCGTCTCCTCCTCCTCGTCACCAGCAGGGTCCTCAAAAAGTGCTTGGTGAGTCCCCAGCTGGAAGTATAGGTATGCCGCATAGGTGATAAGGAGGAAGACTGAAGACCATCGAGACACCTCCAACATGTGCTCAAACTCCTGAGATTCCTCCAGAATTTTTGCATAAAGTGTCGGGAGGGCTATGGAGAAGACGCTTAAGGCGAGCAGGGTACACTGCGTGGCGGCGCCTTGCTGAGAGTATTTCTGCGTAGCATAGAACCACCCACCGAGCAGGAAGGCGCATCCCATAACCAGAAGCAAGTTACTTAGTATGGACCCCAGCAGCGTGCACTGCACCACGATCACCTGGTTCCTTCGGATTCCTGCGATGCACAGAAGCATCTCAACCAAGTTTCCGAATGAGGCATTTAGCAGTCCGCCCATTGTTTGACCAACTGCAGCAGACAAATCCTCCGTAGACTTTCCGATAATCCATGCTAAAGGGATGATGGCCACAAAGTTGCAGCCAAATACATAGGACGGTTGAAAATCCAGAAAATTAGAAGCAAACCCCAGCGGCACGAAGGAAACCAGCAAGAAGGAAAGAATCGGATTTGTCTGGACAATGTTTAAGATTCCTTAGCTGCTGGCCATTGGCATGTGGACATACATATCAAATGGAGAAAAGACAAGTAAAGTACGAACATGATAACCTAAAGCACGATGTTAAACAAGGCCAGCTACCATGAAGATTGCTCGGTGCCGCATCTGAGTCTCCACCATCGTGCATATGAGCCATTTGAGCCATTGCGCATATGTGGAGAGGGGTGAGACCTGCATAAAGGAAGGCTGAGCGCCCTTTGGACTCACGGAGCTTCCTCGGCGCTTCAGCGAAGTGCCCGCTTTATTTGGCTTCAGTTGGGATGAATTACTGTTGATATCAACAAAGCTTCAGCTTCTAATGTATTGTTGCACAAGCACACCTGTGTGAGCTAAATAAATAAACTACGCATGCTCTCGCAACGCTTTGAGGTACCAAAGACTGCGGATATAATGCTCATCAAACGGAAGGCAAGCTACACCATGGCAACATCGCACAGATCAAATCGGTCGTGTGCTGCTCCCTCAAGCTAGCCTCCGGGCAATTTTCGCTGCGCCTCCGGAACTTTCTACCTGACAAGCCAGGAAGTCAGAGGCGACTTGAATAAGGACTGCTCGGCACCGCACTGCTTCCGGATCGAAAGGGATGAAAGATCTCCTGAACCTGCCACACAACATCACAGAGTCAAGGTGACTTGGAAGTTCCAAGTCACAGCGACATTGCTTCTACAACAACATTACCCCTGATGACAGGAACCATGACAGCATGGCGGACAGCGCGGCTGCTGTCGCCAGTCCTAGGAATAGCAAGTGAAAAGGACAACTTCAAGCCTTTGCCATAAGCCCCGAACCAGGACCTCCCAGCTTTCCAACTGCCCAGCCTTGCAGGGCTCACCAGTCAAGCAAGTCAAGCATAGAGAATAAGCCCACTGCTCCAGGCTGCGGGCCTTGCGCTTCGAATCCATTGCACGAAGCAGGCCATGCTCACGAGTCCATCTGCAGACTTAGACTGCACGTCTGGTAAAGCTTGGGGGCTTTGAGATGTCAATTCTCAAATGCCGGATTGCACTGATTTGCTCTGCACAACAATCATGAACTTCCTCTTGGACCGAATCGCAGCGCAAAAGGCAAACTGACGAAACCTTGCACACCAAGTACAGCTAGTCTGTAACAACCGGGACCAATCCTGATCACGAAGGCCAATGCATAGGCAACAGCTCCCACGAATCCCATAGAGCCAGAGAGACCCCGCAAGTATTAACTTCTCCAGGGAGATGCTGTCGCCCAGGCCCTGACAAAAATGCGCGTAGTCGCTCAATGCAACTGACAGTCTGAGCGTGAAGATATTCTTGCTCAGCAAATTTAGATAGAAGCCTCTGGCTGGTAAGAGGCATCCGGAATGCTTTGTTCTGCCCTGTGGCCCCCTTATCAGCCTGGCACCCTTTCCTGAAACTGTAGCCACACTTGTTTCTGCCACCCTCACCCTTTGAAAGCTGCTTGCTATCAGGCTATAAGGCTTCTCTGCTGCGCCCAGGAGCCACAATATCTGGACTCCAATGTTGACATGCACAGCTGAACCTGCCTGGGAAAAGATCTTCATGCAGTCGTCGTGGAGCTTATTGCCTGCAAGAAAAATTTCCATGTCCATGATCAAGCCTGTTCAACCTGCATTGGTTTTGCGCACCTCTGAGCTCAAGGATCCGCAAGGCTGTACACCGGCTTACGCCGTAATGGACCTCAAGCGAATCCGGCTGGGCACAAGCTGTCGCCTCGTCACCTTTGCATTGCTGCGGCATGCATTCAGGCGGCCTTTCCACTCAGTAGAGCTCTTTGGCTCAAGACTGCCTGGCTGTCATAACTCGGAGTACACTGCTGCCCAGCCAAGGTGAAGCTGCTAACGCCTTGAGGGCTTCTGCTGTTAGAATTCCGCATCCCGATTCGTTCATCGCCAAGCGCTGCAAGCCATCTGTGTCGGAGTCCCTGACAGCCTGCGCAGGGATGCCACTCAATTGCTGCTAAGATAACTTACAGCACGGCCTAAGGCTAGACTGCACCTCAACCCATTCAACGAAACCTTGCGAGATAGTGACTTTACGACATGCATGGTCATGCCGTTGCCGTGCGGGGCCATGCATGACTACAAGCTCAACGGCGCATTACACCATGTGGTAGTTTCCGTCAACAAGCAGGCTGCAAACGTGGAGCTTTTTGGCTTTGCTTTGCTGATTTCAAGGTTTGCTTTCCGAAAAGTCGTGTTTTAGATCATGCCGAAACTACTTCTGGGAGACCGTTCTTAAAACGGTCTCTTGATTTCCAATTAGAGAAATCCTGTGGCCGTCCACGGACCAGAAGTCGTCCTGCCTAAAAACTTCTGAACTGAGCTGGCGAAGAACGATTCATGCGTAAAACAAATAGCCTCATGACATACAAGTCGATTTTGCGTGTGCAGCTCAGGCGAGGTGTACGTGTAACAGAACAGAATAAGCCACAAATCATCAGACAGGTGCAACAACAAGGTTGTGAATCTACAGGCTAGGTAGAGCGCATCTTGCCCCACCCACGCCACCCTGCACGACCCCTACCTGCACCGGATAGAGGAAATGGGAGGGAATGAGGCAGCATAGACCATGGCGTTCAATGAATATGCTATAATATACTATAACACAATAGATATACTATAATATACTATAATCTACTATAATATACTATAATATACTATAATATGCTATAATATATTATAATATACTATAGTATATTATAGTATTGGACCTGGGCCACCTACAAGCTCATCGCAGAACCCAGGTGCATCGCGTTCTGCGCGCTGGTCATCTCCATCAGCACTAACGTTTCAGTCACTTGCAATCTGGAGTCGCGTGCGCGGAGCTGGGACTGAAGGAGGCATATAACATTTTCTGAGCCGGATTGAGTTTCGGGACATTGTTGAGAGTTCGCACCCAGACTGGCTTGCTTCTCTCAGCGCTTTGTTTCTCGCAAGCACTCTCCCGTTCTGACTAAGACAGCGTGGTACAGAGATTGCTGCGAACTGGCATTTTACCTTGGAAGAACTGAATTGATACATACTTTTCCAGACTTGTTCAACACTTCATGGGCGAGCCCAGTCCAACGAAAGCTAGCTTCAGCACTGGAGTACAAGAAGTATAAAGCTCCTAAAGGGGCCTCGAAAGCCTCTCATGAAACCTCGCCCCCCCACGCTCACCTGCAAACCTCTGAAAAATCAGGACCAGGCGGTCCCAAGAGTCGTCCGTGACCCAGGAAGTTCTAGTTAGTAAACAGGAACTTCTCACAAGCTCCAAGGAGCTAGCTTTCTTGGAAGCGGGACCCTCCTTCGGAGCACTCGCAGATGGGGAGGTTGTATGCAACAACCAAGCATGATGTTACTCTTCACACAAGAATAGAGAACACTACCAAACGAGAAGCAAGGTTCGATGAACCACCAAGCATTGATGGTACCCGCACCTGTATCATGACCTTGCAAGGGTTGTGGACACTACAGAGGGTCAAGGAAGTCTGGCAAAACCAACGTCATGAAGTTATTTGCATCATAATCTTAAAAACCCGAATGGGGAACAACAGAGCGAGCAGGACCACCAAGTAATGCCACGAGCGCATATCCTTTGCTTGGTTGTTGCATGAAACCTCTCTCTTTTCTCTGTGGTGTTCGGCACCCTTGCACGGTCATAAGATGAAGCTCATTATGATTGATTGTTGCGTAAAGCCTCCCCATCCTGTCTTCTATGTTCAGTTTGTTTCGGCGGTGTTCACTGCCCTGGCATGCTTCCAGTACCGATTACGTTGTTGCTGGTGTTTGCGTCGAGTCTCAAGATGACTTGCAATAGTACTGAAGTCAAACACAAAAGGAGTACACAGGGTATGGAAGGTTAAATGTACTTACCAAGAATGATGTCGCTCGTGCCATTGCCAAGAAAAGAAACCCATGACCGTACGAAGGAGTTCCTGACCCGATGCCCTGCCATGGTCATTATTGCAGGAACCGCCTGTGGCAGAGTGACTATTGACTGTTTACCCCAAAAGAAAATCAAATTCCTGTTTCTGTGCGGTAGTCATTAGTTTGCCGTTGCCGTTTCCAGCCCGCATCTGCCCCCTACTACTGCGTCGTCTGCTCCCTACTACTGCGAAGGCAAGACACAACTCAAGCCAGCAAGCAAACTTTCGTAGTTTTTTATCTCTGGGTGGCCCCAAAATATGAGGACGTTCCACGTGAGAACTCGATTTTTAACCAGGACGTGCCGACTTTCAACGTGAGAGCGTTATGTGTCAGGACACTGCAGGAGAGAGCAGCTTCAGAAGAAGAAGAAGAAGTAGTAGTAGTAGCAGCAGCAGCAGGAGGCCCCCCCTCCCTACCAACTATGTTTGCCAGATTGCGCATGTTGAAACCATGTAAAAACTGAGGAAATACTGGCTTTCGTGGAATGTCAAAAAGTCAGAAAGTCCTGTACTTTCGTAATGCGTGGGGATGC